TACCTAGAAGCAAAATGGCCGCGGCGTCGCTTAATGAGGGCTAATAGTTCTGCTTGATTCTGCTGAACATTCATTTGAATCTGGCTGTTATATTAATGACGCACCATCAACCTATTAGCACGTCAAGCAAAGCGATAGTTCAGAGGGACTACTAAATTAACCGAAGGCAGCATTCCGCGAACGCATCACTCTTCAGCAGTCCGGGATCCAAGACATATGACGGTACATAAGCCTTGCAAGTGTTTTTATGGTGAGTAAAAAAATGTTTTGCGAACGAGTGTTGGTATTTATTTATACCCTATTGAAAATTCCATCAAGGTACGCAATTTGGGACATTGACTGCCAGTCAGCAGCCTTGGTGGAACGTGATGGACCATCAGACGTCATCTGATGGTCCATCGGATGACGTGTGACTGCCACTGCCAAGGGAATTTCATCAACAAGGGCAGCATTTATATAAGAGTAAAGCTACGGGCATTCATAAATATCGCAAAATGCCTCGATAAAACAAAATGTTCGGAAAAAAAAAGAAAAAAAAAAAGCAGGACTACCGCGCATTGAACCCGCCACCACTTGCGTACAAGTCGGGCACCTTAACCCCTATGCCATGCCACCGCTTTGGATACTCGATTTGACTATTCGTTTTATACGAGATGCTTCGGCTGCAAATGCAGTTAAGCCGTCAGCATGTTATGCAAAGCCCTCGCACATCACTCGCCGTACTTCAGTTCTACTCACCTGCCATGTAGAGTACTTTCGCGTCGTAGAACGATCCTTTTGTTCGCGCGTCACCGGCCCAGTAGACCTGGTACACCTTGACGTCTTCAGCTACACCGCTAAAGTCCCTTACATCGTCGGAACTCACAACAGGCTGGGTCTTGTCGAGCAGAAATTCTACTAAAACATAAGACATTGTAGAGCCCGGGCAGGATCGACAGGTTGGAGCAAGCGGGCAAACGAAACGAGTCGAGAGCGATCGTTCATAAAAGCTCGGCGAAGTCTCTATGACCGAAGCGAAGTGTCGTGTTCGGCACTTCGGCGGGCTTCTGATCAAGGTTGTCGGTCGGCTGCGTGTCATATCTCTAACGTCAGCGGTTTTATGGGCTCACGTCCCGAAATCGTTTTCTCGTGCATAGATTACTTTTCGTATTCATAGATTTGACGAGTATCCGAACGGACTTTACGTCCTTTGACCGTACGTCTGTCTGCACGTCAAAGCTTTTTGACGTACAGTCAGAGACAATCGATGTACAGTCAGAATCGCCACCAAGACATCCTGATGGCATTTCGCGGCGGCCGACTGCCACCAGGAAACCATCAGAAAGCCGACAAGCGGGGTCTGACTGGAGTTTGACTGTCGGTCAGAGTAACTTGTTGGCCAATCAGACATGCTTGACGTACAGTCAGGCACAGTCAGCGGTCCACTAGAAAACATTGACTGCCAAACAGGGTTACATTGATGGATTTTCCCTTCGGGTACTAATATGTTTATTTGCTACAATATGCACACCAAGTCGTGAGCAGCGATCACTTTGCGAAGAAAGGGGGTTATCCTCAATAAAGTCTTCGTTGTTTTTTTGTTCACAGTGCGCCGACAGTATGCCGACAGCATTGAGGTTTCTACATATCTCCGGTGGCCAGCAATTCAACGGTGACGAGAAGCTTAGCTTCTCGTCACCGGTGAATTGGTTGGGCAAACGGAAGAGATGGCAAACAGTTGAGATCAAAAAAAAAAAAAAAAATTGGGTTGTGTGTGTGTTTATACAGCCTAGAACTTGGTCTGCCTCACAGGGGCGACGAGTCTCCCAGCTGTAGATGAGCAATTTAGCCAGTGCGGCACAACCGCTAGCCTGGGGTCTTTAACGTGCAGCACGCAGTAGTGATACACGAATCGCAGAAACGTGCGTCGCAAGGAACGAAAACGAGACTACAGCACCGGAATGCCAGACTGGAAGAAACACGGGAAAGTTATGCGTTGTTTATGGCGAAACATATTGAAGGAAATGTTTCCTACATTTTCGAATATTCGTCGACAAACTCTACCATAGTAGCTAAAATTTCTTCGTACCATTGGAAGCAAATAAATTGGTCTTCAAGTACAACATTACTATATTTTGACTTAAAATACCATACTAGATCGATGACAACCAGCGGAAAAAGAGGATAAACAAAATGACTGGCTTGTTTCACCGATAGATGGCACATCTTATTGCCCAATCAAAAATAATTATTGTTGTTCTATATCCAGCCGTTTATTACAGTACCTAGGTACTTTTCCCTTCCTAGGCACCGTGGTTTACCAAAATGGGTTTACCATCGCTTCGAGAAAACTGGCCCAGATGGTCTCTTCGGAGAGTTCAGAGGACCAACTGCTGCCGTTAGTCCTTTGAGACCATCTTTTTTCTTAGAGTGCACTAATTAACTTTTTGGTATTGGAGGCTTCAATTAGAGATTTGCAGTCCGTCATTTATTGTGGCTAAACCAGTTCAGATATCTCTGAAAAAAAATATTTCTGCTTCGAGTTATTGCGTGCCGAATTTCGCCAATCACGGCAAAAAAGAAAAAAAGAAAATCGGAACTAACTCGGGAAGAGGCGCGCCAAGGCGGAAACAGTTTCACTGCCGAGGAGACGTTATAGTGTGACGTTGGTTGCGCGTAGATTGCTGTATGATACCAAAAATTTCCATTCCTAAATCGGCACGCGGCCTGCTCCCGCGAGCCGGTTTGGGACTGGGTCAAAGGTCACGACTTGGTTTGCATATTGTAGCATAACCGTAACTCAGCGATATCTGTCTCATTGGTGTAAAAACGATAAAAGAAACTCAGAAGCGCAGTTATCATATATTAGAGACGCGGGCGATGACTTTCAAGTTTTAATTGGCTCGCGCAAGAACAGGCACCGAGCCGATTTGGGATTGGGCCAAAGCCTCTGGTCACGTGCATAAAGCAACTTATGCATCCCCACACGTCGCAAGCTGACGCCTCTTCGGCAGCGAAACTGTTTCCGTTCCTGGCGCGCGCTTTCCGAGTTGTTTTGATTTCCTGCTGCCGTGGTTGGCAAAATTCGCCACGAAATTGCTCGCAGTAGAATTTTTTTAGACCCCTTTATAGATTGAGCCTTAGTAAACGACGGGCTGCAAATTTCTAATTGAAACAGGCAAGTTAAAACAACGAGTTAAAAATCAATTACTGACTATTTCTTAATTAAGCCTAATAAGCACCTTGGACCTGCTTCCTTCCGCCCGCCACCGTGGATAACATAATCCGAAAGGAATCGTTTCATATTTCAGGTTATCTTTTTTTACATACTGTCACTTTTACCTGAAACACCTTCTCTATACTCGTGATAAGTTAGGCTCTGAATAATAAGAAAGTTATCGCGCCAAACAAACAAACAAAACGCAAGCAGTGCGCTTTATTTTTTATCATCCTTTTATTGTACGCTCATATTTTTCTTAGAATCCTCTCACGCGAAAGTAAATTAGCGACGGAGGTAGACAGGTGTTTATATTCGTTGCGCCCGCTGTGTCCGTAATCTCGGTGGCTCCCTTGGGACTTACGGCTCCTGGCAAGCCTCGGAAGGCCTCAGCAACATCTTACAGTTTCGCTTGCTTAGCGTCTGCTATTTAAAAGTCGCGATACTGACCACGGCCGCGCTCTTCTTATGAGAAAGTCTCTACGGGGGATGGGCAACTCGAAAAGGGATCAAGGCAATTGCCTACCTAGGCGGAAACGAAGAGATTCCTACAATTCTTCTCCGACCTTCGCCCCAAGGTGGTTTTCGTGCTCGTCGTCTTTTGCACCGTTTGTTACGTTTATCATAAAGGCAGGGGTAAATTATCGCATCAATCAACGTTTCCGCGGAATGTAAGTGGATGCTTCTCCTTCCATAGGCGACCACCTTGCCGAGGGCAAGCAGGAAGAATGCATTGCGAAGCGCAACTTCCGATCAAGGTTGATTGACTCGAGAAACCCGCCTCTCGGCGGCAAAAATTGTTCTCAGAGTCACCTTGGTACCTGCCGAACATTCCGTTGACTCTTGACGTTACAGAAAGCAAATAGCGCAAGATAATGAGGACGAGTGGGTCAAGCACCGATTAACAACTGACGTGTCCCTAAAGACAAGCCTGAGATTATGACCATTCTATACAAAAATATTGATTTTAATGAAGGTTAGTTTTTTTTTTTTTTTTTTTTAAGCGAGCTCCACAAATGAAGCGTTTTTATTATCTGCGTGAGTTTCAAGTGGAGTTCCCTCGCGCAATTGGATGTGCCTGGAGATATATCATCAATTGGTTTTACCGTCTGCTGGGAGGTCATGCTTTGAGAAGAAAAATGCGGAGCCGCGTGCTCCGCGAAGTCTGGTTCGGAATGTACCTTTCGTTGGATGATTGCCTGTGGCAATGTCGCTTTTATGCGTAAAGACTGTTCTCAAGAACCATAGATATCAGTACTTCTTTTGCGTTAGGTGCAAACACTCGTACTCGTGTCGCCCGTAGCTATTGGTACCATCTCTTATGAGTTATGATTGATTTTAAGCTTTCATTGTATAAGCGTGGGTACCAACAATGAACAATTTCATCTGCACATCTGCAGCTTTTTCGCGTTATCGAAAGAAATAGTTGCTACTAGGCTAAACCTTGGGTTCTGCTTCTTCGTAGGGGTGTGTAAATAGTCACGCACTCAAATAATGCAGTGTCATTGCTAGCTTCAACACGGCAGAGCAAGTCGGTGTGTCTTGCCTTTTTTTTTTTTGCACTGCGAAGGATATGAATAACGCAAGATATGAAAGATCCGAATCACTGTTCGCAAACCCTTACACTTTTGCCTTTGACGTGCATCGTAGCGTCATGCGTCTCGTGGTGTGTCTCTTGCGGGTGATAACCTAAGGATGAGTAGGTAATTGTAACGTTAGCTACGTCGTTGGTTTATCTGAAAAAAGGGATAAGCCTCTAACGACTCAATTTTTGCCCCCCTTACACGATCCTCAAGCAAGAGAACTGGTGTGCATCGTGACTGAAATGACGACCCAACAAGACCAGTACCCGAAGAGTTACTGCACTCACCTCGTCTACTCGGACGTGGTCTTTGACCCCAAGCACCGGAAATTCCTCTCCACCAAAAATGGTATTTTCAATTTCTAGTCCTTCTAAAATGGGCTTCGGTGATATGGTAATTGTGTTGTGCTTACTTCGTTCTACTCAAAGGTAGAATATGAAGCAGAGTAACAAAAGAGAACAATTTGTACAAGTAAACAAAATTTCGAAGGCAACCTAGTTTGGCTACACTTACACAAGACCTTTGATGAAACAAATATAATGTTTTTTTTTGTTTTTTTTAGTCAAGCAATGTGTGCGTTCATTGTCGTAGCGAACGCAGTAGGTCAACAATAAAATACTGATGGAAGGAGACGAGCGAACGGCGTGCCAAACGTAAAATCTTCAAACAAAACGGAGACGATTCTCGAGATATTAAGCAGGATATTCCCGCATGAATAAGCTGATCGTAGGTTCTCTTGTGTCGTGAAGGTTGTGGCTCTGTTTGCCTTGCTGCATAGCCGACCTGGACGAATAGTACGAAACCTTATCTTTCGACAATAACAAACCATATTTAGTTGGATATGGCCAAACCGATTAACATTAACACCGTTAGATTATGGCATGGCCGTCAGCCGCCGAGTGCCTGGGTACCGCCTGGGATGTGGCTTGTCAAGGGAGCGCGCGAGGTGTGCACCAGGCGGTAGAAAACATGAACCTGGTTCGGTCGACTCAACGACTGCGTTTGGTCGCTTAGTTTCGGTCACATTTAAGTTTTGTGTGGGATGTAGGAAATGCTTAATTTATGTATGTTAAAGCTAGATCAGAAAATATCAGTACATATCAACATGCATGATCTGTAGATGCATAGCTGAATCGGTCGGAAAGATAATTGTTGCAATCGGGAACACATATATCAAATTGTGCTAGATTTCACCGAATACGTATGTCAAAATTAATTTTTTTTATAAAGGCCCTAATTTATATACTTCAGCAAAGGTGTCATACACATGGATATAAAGCTACAAAACTTCAAATGGACGAATTATTTTCATTTCGACTTAAGTAGATGTTGTGTGTTGACTTGAATTCGTACCTTACTTTCAAACCATGTTGTCGAGGACACTATTGTTTTCATCGCAATAAGGAGAAACGCATCTATAGAATAGACGAACCTGCCAATGCCCCAGGGTTTATACCAAGCCTCAAGTTAAACAATTTCTTTACGATTGCTTTATGGATTTCACAGACAAGAGTTTCGATCTGTTCCGGCGGAACCAGGGCTCGTATAACATGAGCCAGCTGGTAGCCCTGAACCCGCACCAGACGTTGAACGTGTACCTGAACGGCCTGACGGACATGGAGGTGCAGTGGTACTTCGTCCAGATGACTGAGTCCCTCATGTCCGACTACCACTTCGACGGCGTGGCCTTCATCGGTATCGAACTTTCTCTCGAGAACGTGCAGCAATTTTCGAGAGTCATCGACGTAAGTGACCTTATCATTCTCTGCGAAGGGCTAAGAAGGGCAACCTGTGCAAATTGCGCGCTTTTCCCAGCGGTTGAGTGCGAACCCACTGTTCACGCCTCAGTGTCATTATAACCGCGGTGTCATTTCAAGGATGGCACTAGCGACACAACTGCACTCCGCGCCGCATCCACGACTCCGAGCTACTCTCGCCCTTCTACCCTCACCGGCAGAAAATCGCCAGCTCAGGCCAGCACCTCGTACATAAAGACCAACGCGCTGTTTCCAAAATATACAGCGCTCCGTCTGTGTCCTCTTCTTTGTCCTTCGTTGTTTTTGTCACGCTTTTTTTTTTTTTGTAATTATGTTTACGAACAAGTTCGCGTTCGACAACACCAGGTGTGCTCAATGCGCGTGCGCCGAAACCAGATTTCCGTGAGAGGAAGCGTTTGCGCATGCGTAGTACCGACAGCAGGGTCACTGCAGTCATGTGACGCCAGAAAGTTGAGTTGGTGTGCAGGTGTCGTTCAGGTACACACCTTCCGAATAACAAAGCAGTACGGCAAGAATTTTCGGTGACACCTAAAAGAAGGCCGACGCGGGGCACGTTATAGACAGGAGTGATGCGTCAGCTTTAGTCTGATACTCGTGTCCTCACTGGTTGAGTGGACGAGTTCAAGCCAAACGTCGACGCAGCAGTCGTTTTTGTTCTGGGTTCCGCGTTGGTCTTTTTATGTGACGCCGAAGTTTCGGCGTCTTAGCTTATCTCAGGCGCTCGGCGAAGGGAACGTCTCAACTTCTCGCTCATCTTGCCGTGCAATCTGGCACCCCTGAAACATGTCATGCTAAGCTGTGTAGGCTTGAATCGCGGGACCACGCTCGCCGGCTAAATGGTCGTCACGCCCTCCCCTTCTTGCTCGCAATGCATTCGTGCATATAGGCAGGCTTGTTTCACGGTAACATTCACCAGTGGTTGTAATTCCCAGCAGAAGTTCACGTCGCTTCTCTTTCTGCTCTGTAGTGTTTTGCAACACAAAAGCTGCAATAGAAGCCCAGCCTTTATCCCACACTTTCAGCTCTCAATCACAGTTCGGCGTTTTGTAAGTACTCGCAGCCGAAGCGCAATAAAAGTCAACGATTGCATGCAGTATGCGGAGCTTATTATGCAAATTGTATCTTGATGCATAGTTGGGGTATTCATTCATATTGTCTTTTTTAGGCACATGCTCTGATAGTTATATTTTTAGTGTGTGAATATGGTAACTCTGAACGGAAATCCCCACGAAACATGAGGACAGTAAAACTTCCCGTGTAAAAGACCGATCTCGCCAAGCGTTGGGCGCATGCGTGACAACTTCACAGGAGGAAGGTGGCAGCTCTCGTGCCGCGCCCTACCCCCGCACGTGCAGAACAACAACGATGTTGCCGCGCGTGCAGAAAGACTGAAGTATCTTCGGTGCATCGTGGCTGCGGCCGCTTAGCCATTCGAACTGGTCAGAGCCGTAAATGTAGAGAGTTTGGCCATTCGTTGGGAAGTATAGGAGACAAATGAGGAGGCGCCATTGGCCGAAAGCGGGCTGGGCGTGTTCCAGGGCGTCTTCAGAAATTCGAATGTGACCAACCAGAAGCCGGAAATAATACCCTGGCGGTGGTCGCGAGAAACAAACCTGATAACTGCATTGGAGTAACTCTCAATGGCTGAAAATATGGTACACGTGATGTTTCAATCACGTTAATCCAAAATGATGGTGGAAGAGTGCGACTAGCGGAACGATCGGCATGATCCGTACGCCAAGCGCCCAGGGCCGGGAATCTGCCGTCCGAACGTCCGTGCAAAACAGAGTTGCGCGGTGCATTCGTTTCTTACATCTTTCTGCATGATCATAATCAAAACAACACGTGCACCCTATTTTCAACCACAAAAAGTTACTACACTTCACTCTTACGCGTTTATTAAAACCATATACGAACATAGACTTTTGATCAGAACTGTTTGCCGCTACCACCGCTAGGGGATTCTTTTCGGCTTCTGGTTGGTCAAGAGAGCATGCCAAGCCCTCTTTCCGACCCTGCCGCACGCCCTGACTCTGCCCGCGCCTCCCATTGACCAAACTCTCTCAATACACGGCTCTGGAACTGGTGAGATTGGTCTATTCTTGACACGCAAACCAAAGAAATGTAACATTGATCATACTGCCCTTGGGTGTAGCAATTTCGTGCTACGTTGTCAAGGCTGGCGAAGCTTTTAGAGTTCAGTAGTATACACCTTTTCCACAAGGGCCCAACCATTTTGAATGTCGTCACATCTGGTATGCGATGGAAAAAATCGTTTTGTTCTTTCTACGCCGGGGGAATGTGCTTACGAAAAATGCATGATTGTCACACATTCTTGTTTTGCCACACCTATATTTTCTCGTATATTCTAAGTTGAAATGTTTTATAATATTTTTGTCCCGCATACCAAATACGGGACCCACCCGAGGGGGAACGACAGGAAACAGAAAGCGGCTATTAGCGGCGAGATGTTTCGGTGGCGCCCTCATATGGTTACCTTTCGTGACGTAATTACCTTGCGAGCAACAAGTTCGATGGTGTTTGTAATGGACATGGCAAAAGCTTGAAATCATAGCGTCCTTGAACCAACACTGTCAACACCGTCAAAATCGAAGTCCTCACGTTCTTCTTATTTCCGTCCATGAGATCTTCTTTGCTGACGTCATAGTCAGCATTCGGCCAATCGTGGAAGGCCGACCACAGCGACGCTTTCAATCGCGCACGTCGCCAATAGCACTGCTGTGAGAGCACGTCGAATTTGTATGTTTTCCGCGCGCGCGTTTGTGCGAACGAACCCTTTTGGCTTGGCATAGGCACCGCACGTAGATTCACAGTGGCATCCCATGCTGGCTCGCTTCCTCTGGGGTTGTAGAACACTCCACAATAATAACTCACTGTCTTATTACAATGGCCGTCTTTATTATGTTTTTGTAAAAATCAAAAGTGTAAGAATATTTTGCTATCTTTTTGTTCGTGTTTCTTCACGATTGTATACCTAAGAGTACCAAATGCACCTTTTTTTAAGAACGAACAGCTTAGCTATATCTTTGCGTCGTTTTACCATAATTTTGTTGTGAAAAAATGTGTAATGTCTTCCGGTGGGGTTAAACTAACCAAAATTTAGCCCGTTTCATTCGGTCGAGGGGCGACGTACTTTTGAGTATTGGTGGAAAAAAAAAAAAAAAAAAAAAACTGTTCTTGACATCTACAACTATAGAGTTTGTAGAAACAGTGTATCAACTGACGGGTTTCCATAGAATCTTTATACAGTTTAGTTACGTGAATTACGGACAAATAGTCAAATTTCCTTAATCGCTTGTTTGTTTAAAAAAAAAGAAGGTAAAACATGTTTTTTTTTAAATAAAAATTTATAATATCAATACTTTTTTTGTAATACTGTTCATTTTTCTAAAATTAGGCATTCCATTTCGCAGTCACCGATGCAAAATCTACTGTTTTTACTCAAGTTATTCTACATAAATTAAAAGTAGGAGATTGCAGTGGTCATCGTAGCAACGTCTCTGCATTTAAAAAAATTATAGAAAGTGGCACCGCTAATATGCAGTCCAAAAACTATTCGACTAGATTTAGAAATATATTTTGAAGTTTGGAAATATTTAAATGATAAGGCAATCTATATGAAGCCTTCACGCGACGCCATATTGTTGGTCGCTGTCTGCAGAACGCCCTCAGAACTCGCTTCCACTATCTTCGTCTGCCAACCACACCAATGGGTATTGGATGGAATGCGCACGGAGCATACATAATCGGGCATTATTTTCAACTACGATATCTGCTCTTGGCGAAATATAAATTGTAGCTAGCTCGAGCATGTGCGTTGCCAAGAACTACCAGCAATTATGGTGTCTCATGACTTCCTTTTATTAGGATGTTAGTTCTGATTAAGAACGTTAAAAATAATTGAAGCATGTGGAGCTGTTCTGGAGGCAAAAGCTCGAGCTGTAAACAGTGTTTTTTAGGTTAACTTAACCACCGAGGGAGCCTTATTTGGCCGTGTATTAGGGATGGATGAAGGTCCTCTCGCATTATTATTCTGTTCGTAGAATTTTACGCCAACCGTTAGAGTGATCATTCAGAGAAAGAGGTCTAAAATAGAGTTTGGGCGAAAGTGCTTATGACTCACCTCCAAAACAGAATACACAAAAAAGCGACTACTTAAATGTATCATAAATTCACGATTGCGGTATATATTCTCAAAGCATGACTCGATGATTTGTATGCAGAAGTTGAAAGAGGCCCTGAAGAAACATCCTTCGAGACAGTTCTTCGAGATTATTTTCGGTGGATACGTCAGTGATCTTGAAATCGATCCCGTTGAAGTCGCCAACCGACTCAAAGTCATCGCCGAGTGAGTGCGAAGGTGCTATAGCCGCTTCAGTACGTTAAGGGTTACATGTTCGTGTGGACATTAGACAAATTTCAAATTCAAGAGTGAAAGTGTTTGTTTGTTTTTTTACCTTTCTTTGCGCGCATTGGCGATTCACTTTAGATTTAAACAATGAAAGTCGCTTTGTACTGTATTTTGCTTGCAAACGTTTTCAACGTCATATGTATGAGCGCAATCATTTGTAACGTCATAGTTCCACTATGCGTTTAAAGAATGCGCCTGTCGATCTACAACGTTAGGCCAGCAGGTCGCGGTAAAAGAAGGAGGAGAAGTGGCAGGCCAAGGCGAAAACGTTCCGTAGACAGCGCCGGGAGGATAGCCAAGCGTCCGTACGCAGAACTACTCTTCTGCTTTTTTGTTTTTTAGGGGAAAAACGAAAAACCAACCAGGTTCCTCCCTGCCTCCGTTGTACGGCTTTGGCGTTGTGGAGGCGGAGAAGTGCGGAAGGAAAGAAAGTCGTAACTAGGCAGGAATGACGCGCTCTACTTGGTTTCTCTTTATTCTAAAAAAAGAACGAAAATAGGTGTTTTGGAGAGTGACCGCTCGGTAAAGGGTCGTTCGGTTGCATATCCAAAAAAAGATTTCCCCGAGTACAGCCTGATTCTGTTAGGCCGGAGTCAACTGCTTATGCCCGTGTCCCACTAGAGCGACGGACAAAAAAAAAAAAATACGACAGCGACAAGCCTCAAACCAGAGTCTGTCGCGATTCGAGAGGCTTTGTAGAATAAAGAAGGCAATGCTCAAACACGAGCATCATACACGCGAAGGTATCTTTGACAAGCTTGCAATCGCTCGTGCTTACTTCGCGAGCACCGAACAACTAAACGTCTGCCAAAGGTACCATCGCGAGCATGCTGCATGGGTTTGAGGCTTGTCGCTGTCTTTTGTTTCTGTCTGTCGCTCTAGTGGGACACGGGCATTATACATCATACAAAAGACTGTGTGTATAGAAGATTCGAACCCGAGTCACCGCAAGACCCGTGCTTATAATCAGATTCTTGGCACCAGGCATTCGAACCACGGATAATGTGATAACTTATGTTTGTAGACTGTCTTTTGTTTGATGTCTGAGCAGTGTGACCCCGGCTTTAGAGTTGGGTCGTTGCCGCAATTTTGAGATGAAACAAAGGTTTTTGTGTTACTCGTGATTCGCGCCGTTCCCGCTTCTTAACCGCTAGCTATCTCCAGTTAACGTCACCGGAGGTGAGCGCCACCGCACTCAATTGACACTGCTTTCAGTGGCCGGTCTAAAAACTTTCGTTCACAAATAGAGACAGTTCCCAGTGGATCGCGAACCAGAATGAAGCAGCCGTCGAAAAACCGTAATACAAAAGTCTGGAAAAACGACTAAGCGACTTGTGTATGCAGGTTGTCCCGAGAAAATAGAACCGTCGTTTTCAGACCGGGTAAATAAACTATACATCGCAGGAAGCTCAAACCCCGCGAGAATGTGACGCTACGGGTTCGTATAGGACGCAACATTTTGAGACCATGACATTACCTGGATCAAAAGATAATGAAGAAAAAAGAAATGTCTCTGGTGAGCCAACGTCCACTGCCTAGTATCTCCAAAAAAAGAAATTGCATTGTGTGCGCATGTACATTGATTTCAGTAAAGACGAATTGTCAGCAAGAAAGAAAGGAACATTATTTTCATATTAAGGAGTGCTTTTCACGGATATAAAACACGCAACCTACAAAATGTCAGTTCTTGTTTTAAATATATTAGGTTTAGCTAGACGTCGGGTCATAAAATAATTTCGAATTTCTCATTTATCTTTTAATTCATGTTCCGCCGTGTTCTCTAAATTTCGCGTTCTATTCCAACCTATAAAGAAACATTCTAACGGATTTCAAGCTTTTTGCGATGCATAGTTTATTTACTCGTGTCGAGAAACACGGTTTTCTTTTCTTGAAAACTTCCTGTATACATGGCTTTCAAGCAATGCCATTGCATCCTCCTGGTGGTTTTTCGTCCTTTCTCTTGCTTAAAAAACAAATTTGATGGCACTAATTGTATGACGCCGAAGGTAAGCGATAAGCAAAACGCCACCACAATGGGAGCTGATGTAACGTCAGTGCAAGCGATGTATGAAGACTTTGAACTCTTGTAATGGTCTGCGTGTGTACAAAAATGTGGTTGAAAAACCCTCGAGATTCACCCCATCACATCTGATGCGTCGCAACAAGGTAACCATAATGCTCCACCTGACGACAGTGTATGGTGTCAACACCTATTTGGAAAAGCTGCCTTAGTTGGAAACTTTTAAGCTATTGTGCCTTGTTTAGTGTTTTGCTAGCTTGGGAATGTCCACTCTGTTATCAACGAAGCTCCGTATTTTTACAAGGAAGTCATAAAAAAACGAAAAAAAAAACACTTAAATATTTAAGAGAACAAAGCGACGACTCTCACAGCTGTTAGGGTCCTGCTTTTGTATCTGTGAGTGCTTCAAAACTGGTTCTCACACTGGCGTCGATTGCTTCCACATAAACTAAAATGAAAGCAATGACCAGAACACCCAGGCAATCATGACCACTGTGACCACTGTGACCGTGACTCGTGATTGCTGCACTAAGCTGCGTCTTGAATGACTTGCCATATTTTGTATGTGGAACACTTGCCCGGTGACCTTGTTGTTGCTGTAGTTTCTGTCGCTAAGAACGTAACCAATGCAACTGTCTGAATCAGGTTTCATCAGTTTTACTGTTATCTTATTTTACAAACGCTCTGCTTCTTATACAAGTCACGATATCCTGGGGAAGTAGCGCCGCCGTTGCCTTCCCTGCCTGCTAGACGGACACAAACAAGTACTGACATACGGACGACCTAAACCTAGCAGAGCGAGTGACTGATCTGCCGCTGTTGCCATGGCCATCGCCGATTTCGGTCCTTTCCAATCTTTGAAGCTTTCAAAGGGTCGTTCTCAACCAGTTGCTCCAATATGACTATGGTGTGTCATCGTGCTAAAAGCGTTCTTTGCCCATATACGCGATTTTAGCACTCTGTGTGCGATTAGCTTATCAATCATCCTGATCTCCAGCAATCTCGCACAATAATATTGTTCTTCTTGCGTATTTCAAGACAGGGAAATTGTTTTTCAATGACTCCCGGCACCGACGCCTCGTGTGGCGGCAGAGCGAAGATGTGCGCCTGCTTCGCCGGTGTGTGGATAACAAAATCTGGGTATACAAGAAACGTCCGTAAAAAGCAACTTTTCACCGGGAATTCACATCGACTCTCCAAGAATGAAAAGGCCAAAAAGAAACTTCTCATTCCACGGAGCAAAAGGGTGGCCATACAGGGAGCTTGTCGCTACTTTCCCAGGATTCACTGATTATACTCCCTGTGAACAACATGCGCGACCAAGAGCATGACGTTTTGAGTAGAATTAATTTTGCCTCTATTGACGAAGTTTGGACAAAACGAGCGGGTTGGTAGGGATAATTAAACTTGAGGAACAAAACGAGAAGGGACGTGTTTGTGTTTGTCCGTCCCTTCCCGTTTTCTTCGTCAAGTTTAATTAAACGTAAAGTTTCTTCTGGTTTTTTTTTTTTGTTTTTTTTTGCTCACCCCGCGAAACTTTTTGTTTGTAACTGACAACCCTGGTCGCGACTTCACGCGTCGAAATGATAAAAGGCTGCTACCGAAGTGTCTTGTCAGCATAAATGCAGCTTTCTTCGGGATGTAAATTACTGAGCTAACTTAATGTTGTTAAATGCACAGAGGTATATAGGTTTTCTACGCGAATCAGGACTTTCTCGATTGTTATCCATTGTTATCGATTCGGTTTTGATGACTGCTCCATAGTTTGTTATTGTTTAAGAAACTCCTTTTGCAATTTGGTAGTAAAGAACTCACGCTTCTTTGTTCTTCAAAAAAAAGGGGGGGGGGGAGGTAATACGCCGCAACTTAGGGGGGCACAGCCCAGTTGACCGGACGCTCGACCTCCAGCGTCGTGCCCCAGCTCGATGTGTCTCGCCAATGAAATGTAACAACCTTCATGATACCTCAAGTAGATTAATTTCGGCGTCAACTATTTTGTGTTAAGTTGTCAGGACTAGCATAGTCAATGGATCCTGGGAAATTAGCGCCATTGCCTTCCATGCCTGCTAGCCGTATACGCAAACCGGTGCTATGGTACCTAGAACTTGTCTCCGACAGGTGTGTTTACCGCGTTGAAAAAAGTGGTGCCTCGTTTTCCGCCTGGTGACGTCATAGAGGTGGAAGGCTGTAGCCGGTCGCGACCCTGGTGGTGCCCTAGCAGGGGCGGTGGATGTTGCAGACGCCTGTTCTGCTCCAGGTCGTTCTCCAGTGTGACAGTGCACGGAAGCTTAGGCAGCCAGAAGTTGGGACGTCGTGAAGACAGCATCATTCGCGTTTGCTCCTGCTTTCCGCCAGCATTTCTAGGACCAATCAGCAGACTCGCAACACTCAATAGCATTATACTCAGGCTTCTGTGACGTCAGTTGTTCCCACTTCGGGACCACTTTTGATGTATGAGCAGGATAGGATGCTAAACACACCAGTCGGAGGTGCGCTCCACGAATCATACAGGTATTCTAAGATACAGGCGCCCAAACTTTTGCAAGACGATTGGCTGATCACTCTCGTTTGCCATTGCAATAGTAGCCATTTCGGTGCTTTTGAATCCACATAGCCACCGTACTAAAAGCGCCCGGCACCGACGCCACGCGTGGTGGCGGTGAAAAGATGTGTCTTTGTTTTGCCGGCGGTGGATAACAAAATCTTAGCACACAAAAAAATGACCATATAAAACAATCAGTCACCGCGAAGTTGGATCGACTCACCACGAATGTAGAGATCAGGCAGAAACTGCTAATTTGATGAGCCAAAATGGAGGCACACGGCGACCTTGGCGCTACTTTCCCAAGATTTAGTGACTTGGGGTAGCATAGCTTCCAGTAGTTCAGCCGAGCAGTTCTGCGAAAGCACGTGGTTT